GGGCGCCCCTCTGCATCCCTTCTGTGCAGCTGTCAGCGCTGCTGTGGGTTGGTCCCACGTCGAGGTCTGGGACACATCCCGCGGCGTTGTACTTGGGGCACGAGAACCCCTGACCCATCTCTGAGCAGGGACCAGCTACCTTCCCATGGTCCGCTGCGCCCGCCTCGGCCTGCGGTGGGGAGACCCCCTCAGGTGCTGGCTGGTGCACGATGTCCTTGGAGCTGCTACCGCCGCCTCCTGTTGCGCCTCCTCTGCCTGCGCGCCGCTGCTGCAGCTCGGGGCGGGCCTCTCCCCGCTCGGTGGGGCAGCGACCCACCGAGCTTCCTCCCGTGCTCTTCGCTGGCCTCATGGCTGGTGCGGGGACCCCGTCTTCGTGGCCCACCTGGCTGTCTGCCATGACGGGGCCAGGCTCAGGCGCCGACGGGCCTTGTTCACCTCCTGAGTGCTCGCCGGGACTTGTCATGGTCTTGTCCAGTCGGCTTGCTGCTGCCTCCTGCGCTCGGGCATCATGGTGCGAGAGCTGTCGCACCAGGGTGGGGATCTCCGCCCACCACGCATGGATCTTCCTTTCGACCCCTGCCCATGGCGTAGAGGTGACGGTATCCTTGATGCTCACGCTCTTGTAGCTCGGGGGCCTGCTGTGCCCGAGATGTCGTCCACGCTCTTCCCCTGGGATTCCGATGCTCTCGCACAGGCTGAGCTCGAGGGTGCATGCGAAGCGGTCGTACTGTTGTCCTAGGTCCAGCATGTCCCGCTCCATCATCTTGCCGACGACTGTGTGCTGCAAATGCTGGGGCAACTCGTCGTAGGCGCGCACGCTGACCCGCTCGGAGGTGGCCTGCCACAGCTCCTCAGGGATGACGTGCTGGACCTCCTTGTCGTAGTACAGCTGCTGCACTGGCTCCATGTCGTTCTCGTCCAGGTCGCCTCCTGCCTCTGCCGACGCTTGCTGTCGTCGGCGCATGGCCGACTGGCCCCCTCGCGCCGCTCGTCTGCAAGCGGCTCTGGACTTCGGCATTTTCTCGGCTGCGACTGGCGGCTTAATGGCTGCTGGCCTGCGAAGTACCCTGCCCTTGAGCATGAGGGGCCGCGCCTTCAGCTTCAAGCGGATGCCAATGTGCGGCTTCCACGGCACGGTCCTGAGCAGCTCCAGCTGGTCGAAGTACGGCGCCAGGCCCTGCGAGATCAGCGCGAAGTCGATGCACCTGGCCTCACCTGCTGCTGGGAAACATGTGGGGGCGCCATCCGCCGCCGCAGCTACCTGCGCATTCAGCACCCTGGGCCAAATACTGTTGTTGAGCTCCGACGGCGTCATGTTGAAGTCCCCAAGCGCTGCCCAGGGCCCTCCCCAGACGGCCATCTTCTCCCGCAGGTCGCAGAGGATGTCAACATTCCTCTCTCCAAAGCCCGTTCCACACTCAAGGTAGACGAAAGCCACTGCGAAACGGACCTTGTGCAGGTTGGAGATCACCACCGTGACGTCACTGCCGTCCTCGTGCAGGTAGTGCTCGTCGAAACCCGCAATCCTGTCCTGGATGTCCAAGGATCCTCGCGTGATGGCACACGTGCCTCCTCGAGTGCCTTCTCCTTCTCCTGGTCGTGCCTTGGTCCAGTAGCTGTGCATGCCATTCCTCCTGAGCGCCGCTCTTGACTTGCTTATCTGTGCAGGCTGGCGGAGGTGGTGCTCCGCAATGCCAATGATATCCCTGTCCTTGGTGTTGTTGATCTCCACGAGGTAGCCCTGTGCCTGGGGGCCCCAGGTCGTGACGTTGAAGAAGTCAATGTGGCACGGGCGGCGAGCCTTCTTCACGCTCGCCTTGGGGCGGCTACCCTGCTGAGTGGTCGCCCTGCCCTTCTGCGTCGACGACCGTCTCGGCGCGCCTGGCCTGCGAGACCTTCTCTCGCGCCTCCTGGATGTGGGCCTCCTCTCTGGCTCGGCGTTCTTCTGCTTTGTCATGTTCTGCTGCACGTGCTCCATTTTGGGCTGCTGCTGCGGCGCCAGTGGGCGCAGCCGCACCAGCTGCCCCTGCTGCCTCAGTGCACGCGGTGGCACCTCGCTGAGGGGCTGGGCTGGCGGCGCAGACTCGCTTGCCTGGTGGGGCTTCTGCTGCTGGGTCTTGCTCTTCGCTCTTTGGCAGGCGCTTGGTGCGGGCCTGCTCGAGCTGGCGCAGTTGCTCCTGGTGCCTGGCCGTCTCCTCCTCCAGTAGTCGCAGGTGCTTCGCCGTCTCCTCCTCGTGCTCCTTGACCGTCTGGGCCATCCGCTCGCCCTTGGCCTTAGCTGCCCGCCAGACTTCCCTGTCTGGCTCGGACCACTTGTGGAAGTCGTCAGGCTCGTGCTCGAACTGCTCCAGGAGTGCTGCCAGAGTTGGCTTCTCGGCTGCAGGCTCAGCTGGTGCCTCTTGCTTGCCGACTGTGGCCTTGAGCTTGTCGAACTCATCTTCGGCTGCAATGGAGGCTTCCATGGCTTCACGAAGCTTGCGTTCACTCTCGGCCAAGTACTGCTGGGCACTCTCAACTTGCTCTCCTGCCGATCGCACTTTCTTCTGGAGTTTGTCCAAGCGTCGAGCAGCTGCCTCCACTGCCTTGAATCCAGCGACTGGTTGGTCTGCTGGTGGCTTGGCTGCGGCGAGCTCTGGCCAGAGGGCCTCGTAGTGCTGCCTGAGCGGGTCGTCCTTGTTGAGCTTGCTGTAGGCCGCTGCGGCGGCAGCCTTGAGGTCGGCTGTCTTGTCGTGAGGTGGTGGCTGGCGTTGGCCTCCCTGTCCTTTCCCGCCTGCACCACCACCTGGCTGCCAATCATCTGCCCAACTGATCCTGGGCGAGGTACCTCCTTGGGGCTGTGCTGCCAGCCACCCGCCATCGTCCTCGCGGAAGACATGACCGTCGGGGGCGAGGCAGGCGAGGTTCTTGCCGCAGATGCAGAGGTCGCCCCTGCTGGTGATATTCTTGCATCAGCGCCATCTGCTGCACCCGTCGCACACCACGTAGCTGCTGCGAGGAGGGCGACTGCCACTGCTGCTCCTCTTCCACGGGGGGACCCTCTGGCGATTCGGGGTCCCTGACCAGGCGCTGCCCGCCCCGCGTCCACTGCCGCCGCTCCCCATGGCTGCAGCGATGCCGCGCGCGCGCCCGACGCCCGTCTGGGAACTGTCCTCGGCCCAGAGGCCCCCCTTCGGCCTGGGGGCTGGACAGCCCCCCAAGTCGTCATCTTGAGCCAAAATGGCTACGGGGAGGAGGAGGAGCAGGAGGAGGAGGAGCAGGAGGAGGAGGAGAAAGAGGAGGAGGAGGAGGAGGAGCAGGAGGGGGAGGAGGAGCAGGAGGAGGAGGAGGAGGAAACCAACACCAAGACCAAGACCTGCTCATGGACTTCATGCAATCTGTGCAATGCTACACGCACTGCTACACAATATAGCTGGACTCCGGCAACATCAAAACAAAAGCTCGAACCTGGCTGAACTCCAGCGAAACTGCGCAGCGACTGTCGCACACTGCACAGGACAGCCCTGGCCGATCGGGACCCTTGGGGGAAGGAGGAGGAGGAGGAGGAGGAGGACGGGGAGGAGGAGGAGGAAGAAGAGGAGGAAGAAGAGGAGGAGGAGGAGGAAGAGGAGGAGGAGGAAGAGGAGGAGGAGGAGGTGGAGTTGCCGTAGCCACTGTGCTTCAAGTATCCGCAGGACACACCTGCTACCTGTAGCTTCCCTGACACATTCTCCTCTCAGGCCAGGCCCCACGCGTGGCCACAGAGGCCCGCGCTTCCTCTCCTGTCCAACATGTCCAGGCCGTGGGAGCCTGCGTGGCACAGAAGAGCCAGAGCCGAGCGACATGACGCCAGAATTCTGACAACGGTACATCGAGCATATCTACGGCTCGCAGATCACCACAGTCCCTCCATGAAAGGTGGTGGTTACCTAGGTACGTGGAAGCGCGTGTCTCGCAACAAGAACGCCAAGACTTGGCACGATAGGCGCCTGCGCGGTCAACGCTACGCGGACAACCGTTTCCCGGCGAGACCGCGCGTTCAGAACCGTGACAGACAGGAAGACGGCGCAGTGCAAAACTCGACCAAGAGGCTGTCACCGATGCCGAACAGGGCGGCGAGAACACATTCGACGTGCAGGACACCGCCGTCGAGACCAGCCGATCAGACAGCATTCCGCCAACATGACTGCTACAGCCACGCGGAGAAGATAGCGAGCATGGCCACCCTGGCCAAGAAAGCGAACAAGACGGAGGATGCGGAACGACACGACCTGGAGCTAATGGCCCTGAAGAGCGCCCCCGCATCGCTACAACCAGTTCGAGAACAGAAGCGAGAGGTCAACTGGCTTGAGATCGCATGGCCTCGACCAAGAGCAAGATCAGAGACTTGGTGACCCAGGAGCGAGAGATAGAGTTGGGGGGCTGCGCAGCTGGAGTCGTGCACGAACGAGCTAGAGGATTCACAAGAAGAGCTAGAAGATCCCAGACATCGCGCAGAAGCTGGCGCTGGACAGCCTGGCTCTTGGCAGGAGGCGCCCTTGCAGCAGCAGGCGCCCCAGCGCTAGCACAGCGAGCGCGCGCGGATCTTTTCATCCGAGCGCTGGCGCGCCGCACCGCTGCGTGCGACGCCGCGCGCGGCACCGTGCTGCTGACAGCGCAGGCCAGCGGCCCTCGAGCCCTAGGCCCGGAGATGCCGCAAGCAGGCCTCGGCCCTCGAGCCCCCTCGGCTCGGCGACCCAGGCCAACGGCCCTCGAGCCCCTCGGCCCGGAGCGCGGGTCAGCAGCAGCCGCCAATCTTGGCCGGCCTCCGCCACTAGGGGCGGGCCCCCTGCAGCCGCCACGCGTGGCCGGCCTCCGCCGCTAGGGGCGGGCTCCCTGCAGCCGCCACGCATGGCCGGCCTCCGCCACTAGGGGCGGGGTGTTGTCAAAGGGCAGGCTGTCGGTGCCGCGGATGCTCACGCAACCCATGTCTGGCGAAGTCGTTCCCCAGAAAGCCAAAAACTCTGCCGAAGGCGTGACTGAAATTACTTGCCACCGTCCATGATGCGCTCAATGTGCCTGTGGAACAACTGATGCCCCAAGGCCAAAGCTGCCCGCTGCTGTTTGGTGACCGCGACGGCTTCTAGGGCAGCCATCCCCTCTGTGATAAAAATATTGGCTGTCGCTCTGGAGCGCCAGCGGCCTCGCTCGCAGGTCAGCGCCATGTTGCCGAGCGAAGAGAAATTATGGGCGGCGCCGCCACGGCGGATGCTATAGGGCTTTATCCTGCTGGGGTCGAGGCCCGCCTTGCCAAGGTAGCTGGCGAAAGATGCGCGAAAATTGGCAAGACCCCTCGGTGGGAGGGCAGTGCCAGCTGCGCACCCTGCAAGCGCCCAGCGGAGCAGTAAGTAGGCGAACTCGTCATCGATGATGACGTCCTCAGGGCACCCCTGCCTTTTCCCGCCTTTAGTAAGCCCAAGGTTGACCACGCACGTGCGCTGGCTGTGGTCGAAGACGCAGTCCCCCGCAGAGATGAGCATCTCGGAGGGGCGCAACAAGCCGTTGAAGCCCGCCAGGATTGCAGTGGCAACATCCTCGCGGCCGTCGGCGAGCGCAAAGCCCGCCAAGGCAATCGCCACCTCCGGTCGTAACGGCGGGGCGCGGCTGGGCATCTCATTCTGATCCCACGTGCGGAGCAGGCGCCAGCCCTCCTTGAGCTCGCGCCGAAGGCTCGGCACCAGATGCTGAAGCCCCGAGAGGGTGTGGGCGGCCAAACTGCGGGGCGATCCGTCGTCCCACAGCGCCTCCAAATAGTCAGCAACCGCCTCGTCGACGGCATCCGCACTGAGCGGGCGTGCAATGTGTCGGGTGGACAATATATCAGGTCGCTCCCGTCCGAGCCAATCGAAAAATGCATTGACCGCGTGCTTGTGCCGCTTGAGGGTGCGCGGCTGGATCTGTAATTCTCGTAAAGTGCCCGCTGCTCGTCGTCTCTGCTGTCGCTGCTTGGCCGTGGCGGCCTCCAAATGCTTTACCATCGCGATGGCGCGTCGGCGGGGTTGTCCGCCGACCTCACATAGACCCAGTGCGGGCGGAGACTACCAGCGAGCAGCAACGAGACGATGCGGGCGAGAATCTTTTGGAGGCACCGGGCAGAAGACCTCCCTTTGCACAGCACTCCGACGCACACTTGCGAGTCCAAGATGTGAACGAAGCGCGAATGTATCTGCATGCTGCTCCGCAGGCGCCACCGGACGCTGCTGAGCACGGCGCGCAGCTCGAGCTCGTTGATATGCTCGGCGTCGCGCCAGCGCCAAGCCTGGCAGGTCATCCAATCCCACCTGGCCGCAGGGATGCCTCTGCGCGGCCAGCTGCTGGGGTCGCACAGGGAGGCCGTAGCAATCCTGACGTCCGATCCTTTGAAGATAGTGGAACGGACCATGGCCTCGAGCGAAAGCTGATGCGAACCAGCGCAGGCGATCTCCTCAATCGCTCTCCCGGCCAGGCGCTCGACGAAGGCGGAGCCCGCGGCTGAGAGTCCGCCACGGGCCACGTCGGGAGTCGGGGCGTCGGGCAAGAAGCCTCTCTGCCACCCCCACAGCCCAACCAGGTACGCAAGGGGGGCCACGGGCCCACACTGCGCTGCCGCGGCGTGGCGAGCCTGGTCGAGGGCCTCCGACGTGCAGCCCGACTTGCGACTCCGGGCTTGGAGGAAGAAGTCGTGCGGAAAGCCCAGCCGCAGCGCGATGCACTGCAGACGCCCTCTCTGCGCGGCCCCGGCAGGGCGCTCCTTTCCGAGCGGGCAGCTGCGTGCGCCGCGCCTGGCCCCTGTGCTCCGCAAGCCAGCGCCTGCCGCCGCTGGGGGGACGGCTGGGGTGGACTCGGACCAGCTCAGGAAGATGCGGTCCGGCTGGCGTGACATCCGAAGGTGACTGCCACCCTCCAGCGGCCAGCTCAACCAACAATATTCGCAACCTGTGCTCTCGGATACCGTCGACACGTCCATAAAGAGCGGGATGGAGCGGAAGGCGCGCGTGACAGACTCCAGCTGCTCGCGCGAAGTCGAGGGCGCGGCGAGGCACACCAGCCAGACCCTCAACCCGGCCCCCTCGCGCTGCAAGACACGCTGCGCGGAGCAAATAAGGGGCAGGTCGGCATCGAGCTCCAACGCGGACCCGATGTGGCACATAAAGACGAGGTCGGTGGCGTGAGCGGCGCGGCCCAGCAACCGGCGAGCAGCGATCGCGTCGAATGCTCGGAGGTCGCGCAAAGCCTCGGCCTCGGGCCAGCGGGCCCGCACCGTCCGGGCAGCGTCCAGCGTGACCGACAGCAGCCCGTGCAGCGAGAGCTCGAGCCCGACGCTGTCGAATGCCATGCGCCCACGCCCACAACCGCCGACCTCGAGGAGCACGAGGAGGTCGCGACCATGAGCGCAGCCGCCTGCCAGCTCACACAGAGCGGCGGTGCGACCCTCGGCGGTGTGCCTGGACGTGTACGCGACGCCCCCGCCGTTCTCGCTGGCGTCCGAGGCCCACGCAAGCTCTTCTCCCACATCGATTATGATGTTGCGCCATTGTGCGTAAAATGGCAGCTTCGCGATGTCGAGGGGCAGCTCGCCCATGAGCTGGTTGGATGCGGTCAGGTTCATGATCAACCTGAGCTGCGGCTGCCCGGCCAAAGGCCCGCTGGGGACGAGGTCGTCCTTGAGCACGCCAAACAAACCGTTGACGACGGGCTCCCCGCGGATGTGCAGCAGGTCGCTGCGCCGCAGTGGCGCCACCAAGCCCCTCTCGAGAAGTCCGCGGCCGATGCGAATGATCTCGGTTGAAGAGGCCATGACCTTCCCAGGCTTCGGCCGCGCCGGAAAGCAGTCCAGCGGCACCAACATCTCGATCGGCTCCTCGAGGTAGCGCCTGACGCGCGGCTCACAAAAATCGACGGCCCGCAGCCTTCCGCAGCGGTCGGCGGGAGGGAGCGCCGGCTCGATCTGCTCCCAGGTCAACTCCACGGCCCTCTGGGCGACGTCCCCGCCGTAGCTGACCTCCCTCGTGGCGAAAAGCTCAACGGGCGCCTCGGCGGCGACGCCCATTCCGGGCGTGGTCACGAAGCTATGGACCTTGCGCTCCAAGTGCCAGAAACACGCCACCTGAGCTACCGAAGGCCTGTTTACTGGCATCGCGCATGGCTGCTGGCCGAGGGCCCGCGAACCGTCCCAGAGCGCATTCAGCCCAAGCAACGCTAAGAGCAACCACTCGTCAAGACCGAGCGCGGGCCTCGGCAAGGCGCACCTGCCGGTTCTGTCACCCCGGGCGAGGAGGCGGGCGTACTCGGCGTGCTGACGGCACGGAGCCAAGCCCAGCGACGTGGCAAAAGAGAGCAGCTCGCGCGAGGACGACGGCGAGCAGGACTCCCCCCACGAAGATGGCGCGCCAGCGCGTGACTTGCAAGCAGATCCCTGCCGGGCGAACTCCAACAGCAGCTCGCCGAGCACGCCGATGCCGACGCCCCCAACCAGCCCCTCCGAGAGGCCGGTCTCTGCCCCCGAGCGGGGCAGGCTCAGAGAGGGCGGCGGGCAGGCCCCTCGCCTGGGCCCCGTTTGCCTTGACCCTTGCTGGATCCCTTGCCCTTGTCCCGGCGCTTCAGAAACCACATGCGGGCTGAGCGCGGATCCCGGGCTCGAGGGCGTGCACCTTTGCTTGGGGAATCCTTGCCCTTCTTGCCGCGGCCCTTGCCCGCGGCCTGGGCCGGCGAGCCACGGGCGCGAGGGCCGGTCTCTGGGCCCCTCTCGTCCGAGCCACTGCTGACTCCTCCGCCGCTGCCGGCGCGCGGAGGGCTCCTCGGATAGACGCTCGCGGGTTCCGCGGGGTCGAAGAGGCCTCGGGTGACCTCCTCCGAGTGCCGCGCCCTCGCGTTGGCGGAGCTCCGCCACGGCGCCATACTTTCCAAACCCGGCTGGAGCGCCGGGAGGCTGATGGGCGACCGCCTGCTGGACCTTCCGAGGAGGCGAAACCTCCGCCGATGGGGATGGCCTCAGGGCGAGCTTCCGGTCCAGAAGCCCGCCCCCGCCGAGTCCCGAGCGCGCGGCGCCCCGGGACTGAGCGCGACCGGTCGAGATCCTGTTCTTGAGCTCCTCGCGCTTCATCTCCTGCTGCTCGGCGCGGTACAGCTCCTCCCGCTCGTCCTCCTCCATGGCCGACACGAGCGTGTCGTGCAGGGGATTGAGGTGCTGGGCAGCCGCCCAGCCCCCCCTCTGAGCCATCTCCACGGCCTTGAACTGCCGCGCCAAGAGGTCGGTGCAGCCCACGAAATTGCCATCCAAAAGGCAGTCCAGGCAGATGGCCAGAGTGCGGAGCTCGGCCTCGTTGCGCTTGTTCAGCTCCGAGCCGAGACGGGGGATGAGCTGCGTGGTGAGGTACCTCATGGCCACTGGCTCGGTGGCGGACCCGGGCCGGGACTCCCGCGGCAGGTAAGTCCGCATCTTCGCGAGCAGCCACTCCGTGATGCGCCCGGGGCGCCGTTCCATGGTCGCACGGACCTGCTCGCGTTTGGAACGACGCCCCTCGGGAAAATCCCAGCTCCGAGAGCCCGATGACTCGAGCTGAGAAGGGCTCCGGCAACGAGAGCGGCGGCGATGGCGCGAGCCGCGCCGGCTGCGCGACCGGCCGCGCTCGCCACGCGCGGCGCGCTCCCGGGAGCGATGGGGAGAGTCGCGCCTGCCACTCGCCGCCTGGATGCCCTTTGCCGCGGTGGCCTCCGCAAGGCCATGCCTTTTGGAGGCCCCGAGGCTCCGGTCGCGAAGGCCGCGGCTGGCGCCGGCCCCGGCTTTGCCCAAAACAGCGGCGCCCTCGACACGGGGATGCTTCCGCTGAGGCTCCTCGCTGCCGTCGTAGCCCCGGGGCCCCGCGCGCCTGCCCTGGCCAGCGGAAGCCAGCTCTCCGGGCGGGGGGAAAGCTGGCGGCGGCAGCGGCGGCCCCTGTGCCCGAGCACGCAGGGCCACCAACTTGTCGCGCAAGTCGTCCTTACCGTTGGGCACGGCCTGCACGATGCTGACGCCCCCTCCAGCGCCCTTGGCTGCAGGCGGCGCCGTGGGGCCACCCGCGCCGGCAGCAGCAGCGCCGGCAGCTGAGTCCAGCGCTACCTCCAACTCGCACTCGAGGATGAACCGCCACTTGCCGACGTGGAACAGCTGCTGGTTGTGCTCGCTCGCGGTGCACTCGTCGGCCCTGACGGTGCAAAAATGCAGCCATGGAGGCCGCGCGGCCGAAAACATCGGGCAGAGGTCGACCTCATCTGTGGGGTTGTCGCTCTCCAAGTACGTGGCCGAGTGCATGGAGCCGTGCTTGAGGTCGTAGACCTCCTGGTGGTCGATGCGGAAGCGCGCGTGGCCGTTGATCGCGAAGATCTCGATGAGGTCACCTTCCGCGGGAAGGGTACTCCCAAGACCTCCCTCGTGGACCATAGCCCCACGGCCCGAACGATGCCCGCGATCGCCTCCTGAGGCGCCGTTCCTGCCTCGCGAAACTCGCGGCTCCCCGTCAGCAGGGTGGGCGCGACGATCGGGCTGAGCGCCTCCGCCCGAGGCGCCCCTGCCTCGCGCTGCGAGCTGCGCGGCGCCAGCAGGGCGCGCCCTCACCGGGGGCGCTGGGGGCGGGGGTCCGGCAGCAGCAGGGCGCCGGAGCGAACCCCTCCGCGATGGCGCCATCCCCCGCGGGCTCCAAGAAGCTGCTGAGGCGCGGGAGCGCCCTCGACCCCGGTGCAAAATGATCCGCCGAACGCGGGCGCTGCTGGGCAGCGCGCGCGGAACGGCAGCACCGCTTTTTGACCCAAGATAGCTATGGAACGAACGATCCTGATGCTGCTCGCGTGCTACATGTCGAGGGCGATACTCTACCAGGTGCACGGGCAGGGCCAGGTCGTCACCTCCAGTGGCTAGCTCATCCCAGGGGCGAGTGTGGCTCCAGGCATGGCACCACCCTGAGGGCCACAGCCCCGCTCGGCAGCAATCGTAGCATAGATGAGGATGACGAGCCAAGTGCCAGTGGCAATGGCAGTGGAGACGACCATGCCGCAGCCACCAGCGCCACCGCCCCCTCAGCAGCCACAGATGGTGCAGCAGGCGCAAGAGAACACCAACAAGCTGCTCATGACCTTCATCGCCTATATGGAGCAGAGGCAGCAGAGGCAGGAGCACATCATGGGCACCCTCATCAACTGGGCCCATATGCAGAGCGCGAGCGGCATGGGCGGCACATGTGGAGCGACCTCGGCGGCAGCAGCTATCTCGACGGCGCCCGCGGGTGCACCGCGGGAGCTGGGGCACCGCGGGCGGTGGGGGCGGCAGCCCCGAGAACGCCAATAGGAGGCTGCCCCGCTCCATCGAGGGCGCCCCATCGATACCACCATGGCAAGACGCGCCAAACCACGTGAAGGTCGAGAACCTATGCCCGCCGACGCTGCCAGCGGTGCCACCAGCGGCAACGAGGCCTGTCCCAGACTATCCGACGCCCTTCGAGAGCGGGCCCATGGTCGCACCAGCGTGTCCGCTGCCACCGGGGCCCGTCAGCCCAACGGGGCGCATGAACAATGTCATGCAGAAAGGGGGATCCGCACTTGCAGAGCATGGCGCCGAAGGGGTCGATCACGAAACAAAAGATCACCCAGCAGGAGGCCACGACCCTCACCGTGTCCCAGATCAAGCGGGAGGTCGCCAGCATCGAGGCAGCGGGCGCAGCGGCCGCATCGGGAAGCAGATCGCCAACGGCGGGATCGGCGACAGCAGGCATCAGGAGCCCACCAGCGAAGCTCGCCAATACCGCGGGCCTCGGAGGCGGGTGAGCGGGCTGTTACAGGCCACGAGTGAGGATGAATATGTTTCGGCCTCCTGGGCTTGTGTTTAGTCCGCGGGTGTGGGACCTGAGCCTGCTTCGGCCTCAAATTTGCCTCCTGGGGATCCTGGGCGGCGGGTGCCTGCTGCTTCTCCTGGAGATTCTCTGGGAGGTAGGCCTTGTGCGATCGCTGCAGGGAATCGCGCACGCGGCCCCATCCAGACTAAATTCGACCAAGTCGATCCTCGAGCGAACAGGTTTCCTATCGCAGGCGAACGCGAAGGATTGCGCAACCGAATCCAGGTCAGGTGGCAACCAGTAATTTGGAGGCCGCGACGCAATGCACAATTCGAGGAGCATGCCACGCAGGGGGGTAGACATCTGCGGGGGTGACCTCGTTCTCTTCCACTACTGACGGGCAGGGCGACAGCCTGAACCCCAGCAGCCACGGGGGTATAGCAGGGAATCCTGACGCTAGCATGAGCTCGGGTAACATGTTTTGCATGACTTGTGATGCTTTGCCTAGGGTGCGGGAGTTGGTCCAGGGATTCATGGGAAGTTTGGGGCGCCTACAGCTAGCAGAACTCCAAGAGACAGGACTTCTCGAGCCTGAAGCAGCTGCTGCCTTGAGGGCATACCCTCGACGGCATGAAGTCGCCCAGCCAGACGCCATGCACCTTTTCACGGACGGCTCGCACTACCGACTAGGGGAGGGGATGGGAGCATGGGCAGTGGCCATGATCAGGGAGGTGGGGGATGTCTTTGAGCATGTGAGAGCGATGCGGGGAGGGCTCGCCACCACCAACTCTATGGGAGTAGAGCCCAGCAGCGCGAAGAGCACCGCGCTCGAGCATCTCGCCATCGGGCACCGCCATTTTTGCATGCTTGCTGAGAGGCCAGCGTGCGCAGCTACTTTTGATAGTGACCTCTTGTCAAGCACCAGGGCTGCCAGAGGAGGCAGCCTTCCTGCGTCTGACACTCGATTAGCCCAGCTGGTTCAAGCGGTGCGGGACCTAGCGAGCTCCTCCCAGCATGTTCCTTTAAGCATGTTAAGGCCCATTCTGGACACCCTTGGAACATTCTAGCGGGTAGCGTCGCGAAGATCACGGCGCGCTCGCTGGGGCCGCTGGCCCCAGAGATACCATGGAGCTGGGTCAAGGCCGCGGAGTTTGGGGCGCCCAGGCTTTGGGGGCGGGCCATCGAAGATGGTGGAGATGCTCACGCGTGCCCCACCTTTAGAAATGAAGACGGCTGCGTCAAGGTCTCTGGGCAGAGACCTATGTGCTGCGATGGGCCTAGGTGCGACTCTGATGACCAGGGCGCGGTCACTCGCAAGATTCAGGCAGCTGTCGAATTCAAGGTTGCGGCCTTGAGTCTCCAATCAATTCGCGTCGTGCATCGCAGAGGATCCAAGGGCTGAAACCGCGCCGGGCGAGCGGCGGCTTTGAGGTCGCAGCTCGTCCTAAAGAGAGTTCGCACCGCTGGAATTCAGAGCCAGGAGGGCTGGGGATTGGGCGCGCATCTCCTCGGGCCACCACCAGTACTCCTTCAGATGTGAGCTGTGGGTTAATGTGAGCTCCCCTGGTGGAGTCATGAACGGCAAACCCCTTGTCTTCAGCCTTCAGCAAGAATGACGCGGCCACCGCCGCGCATTCTCATGCGCCGCATAAATGCCGCAGCGGTCAATTTGACTGTTCTCGCGGCACATGCGCCACACTGGCAACAGTCCCAAAGACATGAAAGCTTTTTGGGATGACATGAGGGTGGCGTCTGAAAGGTGGCCGCCCAACATTTGCTTCGTTGATGGCACTTGCCACTTGGAGGGGGGGCTGAGAGCTTGGTCGCGGGGTCTAAGGGGGCCAGGGGAGAGAGCCCGGTGGGAACTTTCAAAATGGAGGATTGGACTAGGCAGTCTGCTCGCAGCGTTGCAGGCGGCCCTTCTTTGGACGAGAATAACACGCTGCTCGAAGGGGTGCGCGAGCAATTTCGACGGGCTGTCGAAGCCATGGAGCTCGAGGCATGGGGCGTGGACATACATGCCCAGCTGCTGCACACCAACCAACGCATCTGGGAGAAGGCCCAAGAGGCCTTCAAAAAAGACCCTACGCGCCCTCGGACGACTTAGCTGAATGCTGAAAGCTGCCGGCCCATTCGGGTTAGAAGGTCCACTGAGAAGGCTCTGCTGTGGGTGCGGCACAGAGGGGGGCAGAACGGCAACGTAGGGAGGCTGTTTTACCTGGCGATCAGCATCAGGAAAGGCCCCCTCAATCATGACATAACACAACAGAAGATCAAACAGTTGCCCATGTGGGATGACCCCATCGCGACATGGCCCCGCCTCGAGATAGCAGGGGAGGACTTCCCGTGAACAAAAATGCTGTCAGAAGGGTCGGCCCTCGAGCTCGGCTGTTTCCTCAACGCTGCAGGGGATGTTCGACTGGGCGCCCTGGAGAATGATTATAGCAAGTACTTGGAGAGACATGCGCACCTCATGCCCGACAGAATTGAGGCCAACGCCACGCGTCAGGAGTGGCAGATTGCGCGCAAGCTTCTCACTCACGGCGGGAAAGGGCACCAGAAGCCCGTGTCCTTCTCACTCCGCACCGCACACAGCGGAGAGCCACTGCGCACTCCGCAGGCCGACGCGGATGACCTTCAGCTCCACGTCGGTCAGATTGAGCGCGCCAAGCCAGCGACCAAGCAGGAGGTCTTTACATTTATGTACATATACGCACAACGCGCGAGGAACTAACCTAGCCGAAGATACTGAGCTTCGCATTGGCAATGCGGCGCCCCTTCAAAAGCTCCAGCGAGCCCTTCGCAAACTCAAGAGTGGCGCGGCTGGCGGCCCCGACGGCCTCGACAGCGACCTTCGTTTTGGAGCCTGAGGGCATGGCCCGCGCCTACCGCCCGATTCCCGCGAAGGTTGCTGCGAGGGGCCGAGAGCCGCGCGCTTTGAAAGCAGGGTTGGTTGTGTTCTTCAAAGGGAGTGGGGTTCCAAGTAATGCGAAGGGTCTACGCAGCATCCCCTTGAGGAATGCCCCCTTCGCAGGGCGTGGCATAAGTATGCGAGGGCCAGGGCGTGGAAGGTGATATCTGAGCGCTTGCTTGACACCCAATGCAGGGGTTATAGGGGCCGCAGCGCGGATGTGGCCGCTCAAGTTGTCCGCGGCAGGCTCCAAGCCCAAAGGAAGCCCAAGTGCTTTATCATTGATATGTTTCTCGGCCTTAAGGCCGCGTCTTACAGCGCGGTGAAACAGTTCATTGTTTCGCTTCCAGGAGAGGAAGAGGATTTGCGAGAGGCGATGGAGTCTGCCGATATTCCCGAGGACCTTGTTTCAGTCACCCAGGCCAGTGGGGGCCAGCCAGTGCTCGACCAGGCCGTGGATGCCAAGCACCTCCTCGAGCTGGCTCGCGACTGTCAAGCTGGCGGATGGTGGAAAGTGCGCAGTGCGCCCCTGCGCGCCCGGCCTGTTTTGGGACGTGTTTCTACACAGCTTGCCCCCATCATTGAGGACGTTGGGACGGGCATTACGGGGGAAGAGATGTTTTGGAATCCGCAGCAACGCTTATATAGATTTTCCATCGAGCAGGATTAGGGGCCGCAGTCCAGCTCTGTCTCTTTCGTGGATGGCCTCGCGCCTGTTGGGGCATTGCGAGACCCGCGGCAGGTTCACGCCAAAGCTGCTGCTCTCGTGGACTGAGTCATTCGTGCCGCGCCGAGGTTCGGACTGCAGTTGACTGCTCGTAAGACCTTGTTGATGCTCCCTGTTGTGGGTAGGTTTTCCAAATCTGCCAAGCAAGAGATGGCTAAAACCGTCGGCGAGTTTGAGATGTCGCCCCCATTGTTTGGAGTTTCGTCTCGCGCTATTAAGCACATGAAGGGTCTCGGGGCCATCACGACTGAAGGGGGTGCGCCAATGCCGAGGTTGCTCATAGGATCGCGCAGCTGAGGCGCGAGCTTAGACCCATCCAAGTTGCCCTTGGCAGGAGCACGCAGTTGCGCGTGGCCACTAAGGCCAAGTACAATGATGCTTGTGCGATGCCCACGTTGTGGTTCAATGTGTGCGTGTGGGGGGCGGTTAGCAATAAAGCTCATGCCAAACTGGCCAGTGCGCAGGCGGCCGCGTATCGGAATGCGTTGGGACTGCCTCTTGCTGGCAATTCTGAGGACTGGACCCCTCATGCCACTGTGCTGCAGAAAATGGAGAGACTCGGGCATAGGGCTGTCATGTGGAT